TTTAGCTCAACAAATGATGCAAGCTGGTCATCAACAACAACTTTTTGAAGCTTACAGTGTTGGGTAAAGCTTCGATGCTTGAAGCCCAAAACATCATTAACATGACGGTTAATGATATGATAGACAAAAAAGATATTGTCTAGCTCTTTAGGAATAGGAAAAGTGTGTTTTTCTATTAGTCATAGGATTAGAAAAGGAAATCTACTCCTATATATGTGTTCACCGAGTTGTGGTGAAAACACAAGAGAGAATAAGAGCTTTGTGTTTAGTTTTGAGAGAATTTTCTAAACATCAATAAAGAGAAGGATTTCTTTATATAAGCTGAGTTTTTCTTTCTAAGAACTTTATTTGGTATCAGAGCTTAGGGATAGTCGATCTGAAAATTTTAGAGAAGTAGTTCTTGACGACAAGAAGAAAGGTGTTCCCGAGCTATGGGAGACATCGTTCCTGCGGCTCGTCCCATCATACCATCTTCAATCCAATGCCTGATGTTAACAGCCACTAATTATACAGTATGGGCTATGAGGATGAAGGTTCTGTTGCGTATTCACAAGGTCTGGGAAAGTATAGAACCAGGTTCAACATCTCCAGAGAAAAACGACATCGCAATAGGATTACTCTTCCAATCAATATCGGAGGCTCTCATTCTCCAAGTAGGGGAACAAGAGTCTCCAAAGGCGATTTGGGAGGCAATCAAATCACGTCATCTTGGAGCTGATTGAGTAAAGGAGGCGCGGCTACAAACTTTGATGTCAGAATTTGAGCGGATCAAGATGAAAGAGACAGACACAACTGATAGCTTCTCTGGCAAGTTATCGGAAATAGCCTGAAAGTCTGCTGCTCTTGGTCAAACAATTGATGAATCAAAACTTGTTAAGAAATTTCTCAATAGTTTACCGAGAAAGAAGTTCATTCACCTGATAGCTTTGCTGGAACAAGTCTTAGACTTAAATAAAACAAGCTTTTAAGACATAGTTGGAAGACTCAAAGCTTATGAAGAAAGGATTCTCGATGAGGAGATTCACGGCAAAGCTCAAGAGAAGGTACTGTACGCTAATTCTGAAGAACGAAGCTCCACCTCATCTCGTGGTAGAGGACACGACAGAGGAGAAAGAGGAGGAAGAGGACGAGGCAGAGGACGTAGCTCGCACGAGAAGGAAGCAGATCAAAACCAAGAGAAGGAGAAAAAGGATAGATCAAAGGTGATCTGTTTTATATGCAATAAAGCAGGTCACTTTGCCAGCAAGTGTCCTGAAAAACCACATAGAGATAGGGATCTCGAAGCAAACAAAGTAGAAACGGAGGAAGCGGATGTAGCGCTTTACCTGCACGAGATTGTATTCTTGAACGAGGAAAAGATTATTCCAAAAAATTACGAAGACGAAGATATGTGGTACCTCGACAATGGAGCGTTTAACCACATGACAGGTCATAGAGAAAAATTTTCGGAGCTTAACGAAAAAATCAAAGGAAAGGTGAAGTTCGGAGATAGTTCATGTGTCGAGATTGCAGGAAAGGGAGCAATTCTGTTTCAAAGCAAAACGAGTGAACAGACTTTGGTCTCCGATATATACTACATATCATCACTGAAAAGCAACATTCTGAGCTTAGAACAAGCTACAGAAGTTGGATGTGATATAAGGATGAGACAAGACTACCTTACGCTTCATGATCCAACGGGAAGACTTCTGGTAAAAGTTACAAGATCACCCAACAGACTTTACAAGATTAAGCTAAAAATAGGAAAGCCAACCTGCTTGCACGCGCTTATGGAGAATGATGCGTGGAGATGGCATGCTCGCTTGGGTCACATCAGTTTCAAAACTATGAATACAATGTCCCAACAAAAGATGGTACAAGATTTACCAAGAATCAGAGATGAGAAAAAGTTGTGTGAGTCATGTCTAGTTGGGAAACAGACTCGTCAACCTTTTCCGAAGGCCTCATTATTTCGAGCTTGCAAATCATTGGAACTACTACATGCGGATCTGTGTGGTCCCATAACACCATCCACCATGGCGAATAACAAATATATCTTTGTTATTATAGATGATTTTTCAAGATATATGTGGACTATCTTGTTAAAAGAGAAGAGTGAAGCTTATGGAAGATTCAAGATGTTTAAAAGCTTGGTAGAGAAAGATGTTGGGAGATCGATCATCACTCTAAGAACTGATAGAGGAGGCGAATTCACTTCGTATAAATTCAACGAGTTCTGTGATACAAACGGTATCAAGAGACACCTCACGGCCCCCTACACACCACAACAGAATGGAGTCGTGGAGAGGAGAAACAGAACTTTAATGGAGATGACTAGGATCATACTCAAGGCTATGAAAGTACCAAATTATCTTTGGGGAGAAGCTGTTCGACACGCTACTCACGTGATAAACAGAGTGCCAAAGAGAGCACTTAAGAGTATGACTCTCTATGAGTGTTTACGAGAGAAGAAACCGAACATTGAACATTTAAAAGTGTTCGGGTGTTTGGCATACTCAAAGGTTCAAGCAACGAACCTAAAGAAGCTTGATGGTAGAACGAAGCCCCTAGTACACCTTGGGATCGAACCAGGATCCAAGGCATATCGTCTCTATGATCATACTACTCGGAAGATAGTCGTTAGTTGTGATGTTGTGTTTGACGAAACACAAGGCTGGAACTGGAATGAAACAGAGGAGAGTTCAAGCAGAAACCTGGGAATGTTTCACATGAGATGGGGAACGACAATAGATGAAGGTGAAGAACCTGTGTTTGTTGGTGAAGATCACCATGATTCTGATACACAATCAGGTGAAGAAGATACGCAAAGCACGCCTACTCATCAAACAACACCGCAACAGTCACCACAAGTTATTCAACAACCTCAACAACTGTTGAGAAGGTCTACACGAGAGTCGAATCTTCCAAGTTACCTTGATGATTACTACTTGAAAGATGACTATGCACTTCAAGCGATCATAGAGTGCGAGAGACTTCTTCTATCAATCAATGACAAACCACTAAACTATCAAGAAGCAAAGGAGTTAGTCCAGTGGACAAACGCTTGCAAAGAAGAGATAAGTTCGATAAATAAGAACAAGACGTGTTTCTTAGTCGAAAAACCAAGAGGAGTCAAAATCATTGGTCTTAAATGGATATTTAAGATCAAACAAAACGCGGATGGCTCTACCGACAAGTACAAGGCGCGACTAGTAGCAAAAGGATATGTTCAGCAATCAGGGATCGGTTTCGACGAAGTTTTTGCGCCTGTAGCTCGTATTGAAACAATACGATTGCTCGTGGGATTAGCTGCTTCTCATGGCTGGGAGATTCACCATCTCGATGTCAAAACGGCGTTTCTACACGGAGAGCTAAACGAAGATGTTTATGTATCTCAACCGGAGGGCTTTGAAAAGGAGGGAGAAGAACATAAGGTTTTTAAACTTTCCAAAGCGTTATACGGGTTGAGACAGGCTCCACGAGCATGGAACACCAAGCTGGACCAAATCTTAAGAGGTTTAAGATTCAAAAAGTGTTCAAAGGAAAGTGCAGTGTATCGCAAGGAAGAAAAAACAGAGTTTCTTCTTGTGGCCGTGTACGTCGACGACCTGTTTGTCACAGGAAACTCGGAAAGAGTAATACAAGAGTTCAAGAGAAATATGTCAGCCAAGTTTGAGATGTCTGATCTTGGAAAGCTCACTTATTACCTCTGTATTGAAGTCTTTCAAGGAAAAGATGGTATCGAGTTGAAGCAAGAAGCGTATGCTCAGAAAATTCTCAAGGAAGCGGGTTTAGACAACTGTAATCTTTCTCACATTCCAATGGAGTTTGAGTTAAAGATGTCTAAAGCTCAAGGAGAAGAGCCAGAAATCGACGCAACCATGTATCGCCGGAGAATTGGCTGCCTGCGATATCTCTTGCACACTAGACCTGATCTCGCTTACTCTGTAGGAGTAGTGAGTAGATATATGCAGGATTTAAAGGAGTCACATGGCGTTGCTTTAAAACAAATTATGAGATATTTGCAGGGAACACTTTCATACAGACTAGTGTTTAAGCGAGGAGGATCGAGGAAGATTGTTGGTTACAGCGACAGCGGCCATAACACGGATCCTGATGACGGAAAGAGCACAGCTGGTCATGTATTTTACTTTGGAGAAACACCAATCACATGGTGTTCACAAAAACAGCAGATAGTTGCATTATCAAGCTGTGAAGCAGAGTTCATGGCGGTAACGGAAGCTGCGAAACAAGCGATCTGGCTACAAGACTTAGTGAGTGAAGTGATGGGAAGAAGTTGTGAGAAGACGACCATTCGGATTGACAATAAGTATGCCATAGAGCTCACTCGGAACCCTGTCTTTCACGGAAGAAGTAAACATATCCACAAGCGATATCATTTCATACGAGAACATGTTGACAATGAACAAATCGCAGTGGAGTTTGTTCCCAGAGAAGAACAGTGTGCAGACATTCTAACAAAAGCTCTAGCAAGAATCAAGTTCAGGACGATGAGAACTTTGATCGGCGTTCAAGACCTCTCGAAGAAGGACTTGAAGCTTAAGCGGGTGATTGTTGGGTAAAGCTTCGATGCTTGAAGCCCAAAACATCATTAACATGATGGTTAATGATATGATAGACAAAAAGGAAATTGTCTAGCTCTTTAGGAATAGGAAAAATGTGTTTTCCTATTAGTCATAAGATTAGAAAAGGAAATCTACTCCTATATATGTGTTCACCTGAGTTGTTGTGAAAACACAAGAGAGAATGAGTGTTTTGTGTTTAGTTTTGAGAGGATTTTCTAAACATCAATAAAGAGAAGGATTTCCTTATATAAGCTTTATACATGTCCACTTTCTACTTATTTGTTAAATTATTAAATCATCTTCATTTATAATGTCGAATATTCTAACATATATGTTCACTTTTTGAAATATATTAGGGATACTCGTGGGGCAGTGTTGGAGCAGAGCCTTCAGAGATTAGGTGTGGAGAGGCTTAGCAAAAATGATGTTCGGAGAATGAATTGGGAGGTTTTAGAAGCCAAGATCGAGAAGTGGATCCATAACATGCGAATATCTGTACGAAACCTCTATGCAAAAACAAAATATACAATCTTAGATATATATATAGAGCGTTATGTGTTTCCTTTCTTATCATTTGTTGGATTGAGACAGGTGAAACTGTTGTTTGCTCCTGAAAAGAAAATATGCGACCACATACTCGATGGTGTTGAGTCGCTCAGAGATCAAGCTTTTGCTGAACTCACTGCAAATAGTTTTGCTATGCTGTTGAGTCTCGGAGATGCTACTGTTAAAAGCAAGAGATCACCGGAAAAACTGTTTCCCTTGATAGATATGTTTGAGACAATGAGAAAGCTTGAGCCCGAGGTAAATTTACGTACGCTAATGTTTATATGTTTGCATGTGGAGTATTTTTTTAAAAAATAAAAACATTTTCTTTTTCTGCAAAGTGTAATAAACTTGCGTTTGGCATCTCAGTTTACAATTAACAAAGTCTTGTTCGTATTTTCAGAAGCAAACCTTGTACCGAGATGAAAGAAGCTACGCAGAACCTGAGAAAACTACTGGCTAAGACAGGGCAAGAAACTTTTACTGATTTCGAAGCAGCGGTTAAAAAGGACGAGACTAAAAGCATTGTTGTGGATGGATCCGTACATCCGCTTACTAGCTACGTCGTAAACTACATCAAGTACTTGTTCGGTGTTTCTACACGTGGAAACAGCTACCAAGCGACGTTGAGTCTAATTTTTCAAGAGTTCCACAATGTGGATCCTCATCATACAGATCCTAAATCCGTGTTGATGAGGATCATAGAGGGTTTACATAACAATCTTGATGATAAATCCAAACAGTACAAATACGCGGCATTAACTCAAAACTTTTCCAAATGAACAATGTTTACTACATAGTGAGATCTATTCGGAGGTTTGGCTCGATCTCTCTTAAACAGAAACCAATTATTACACACATATTCTTGAATTCGACTTACGTATGTTTTCACAGGTCAGAAGCTAGGGACTTGTTGGGTGATGATTGGGTTCAAATACATCGAAGAATCGTGCAACAATACGCAAAACAGTACAAGAAAGTTTCCTGGGAAAAGGTTTTACTGAAATCTTTTCAAATTAAATGCTTAAAGAATACTTTTTCTGATTAGTCATTTCTTTCGCAGATTTTGCAGTGTCTCGTGGTTAGGTCGAGTGCGAGTGGTCCGATAGAGAACTCAAATATAACAAGAGAGTCAGTAAAAGAAAGATTCAAGAGTTTCAATTCTCAGTTTGAAGAGCTTCACCAGAGACAATGCCAATGGATAGTTCCGCACAGAGAGTTGCGTGGATCCCTTAGGGATTCTGTTACCAAAGTCATCGTACCTGCCTTTGAATTATTTCTCAAACGTTTCGGGTACAACTGAAAAACTATAAAGATTTTGGTTAAAATTAGCGTGTGTGGTTTCTTGTTCAGCAAGACAGTAATAAAAAAAAATGCTGTTGCTTTGTTTGTGCTATGCCGCAGGCCGATGATGGAGAGTGGTAAGAACCCACAGAAATACATAAGATTCACTTCTAAAGATCTTGAGCGAATGCATAACGAGTTCTTCGAAGGCAAGAAGAGATTAAAAAAAAAAGGTATTAATGTTTGTTTGATTATTTCCATTACATTTTCTATTGGCTTTTGCAATTATCTAAGGGTTTTTATCTTTTTTCATTAAAGTATCACTACAAAAAAAAATCACTATTGTTACAAATTTTTATATCACAATATATAAATTTTTTTGTTACAAAAGTTACGTAACGGTAGTGTTACAAGTTATTAGAAGTTATAATAAAAACGTCACAAACACATTGTAATCACAAAAATGTCATAAATTGATGTGACGATTGATAATGGTAACGATTTGTCACCATTTGTAACAATATTAAAACAGTCACAAAAACGATATAGTTTATAACAAAATACTATCACAATTAGGTCACAAATGGTGATAAAAATTCATATATTTATCACAAATTCTAACTATATTTAAGTCACTGATCCATTATAAATTGTGATAAAAAAAAATGTTACAAATTTTGTTATAACTAGTGACTAAATTGTAATCATAAAAAAATAATACAATTAGTAACAACAATACTGTCACAATTCTATCATATTTAGTGACTACATTATAATCACAAAATTGTTATAATTTTATTTGTATTGTGACCTTTTTTATACTGAAATCAATATAAAATATTATATAATTAGAAATATGAAACAATTAAAATTTAGTCCCAGATAATTATCAATTATTTTTTGTGGATTGTAGTCACATTTCATTAAATTAAGTAATTATATAATAAAACAGTAAAATTAAAATATAATAAACAAACGGAAATGTTACTTAAAACTAGCATCCAACGTCAAAAGAAAAAGAAAACAAGGTTAATACACAAACAGAACTTAAAAAGATAGTCTTAATAATATGAAAATTAAAGTGGGTAGAAGGTGGACGATGGATGGTTTGATAGTAGAGTCAGATCTAAGCATTTTGATTTGCAAGAGACTCCAACATTTTTTCCATAGCTTCAAGTCTTTTTTGAATTTCTAGATTTTCTGCATGACCTTGTTTCAGTTCAGTTTCTAACTCTTGCAGGCGATTTGTAATCATCTCTGCTTCTTCAGATGGTTGTGGTTGACTTGTAGAAGTATCAGCACATGGTAAAACAAATTCCCTTAGAGCTCCAAGTCCAAAGATATAACCTTGTTTAGATGACCTAGCAGCCTAGAGCAAAAGACCAAAAGTTAAGCAAAGTAATTAGCTGTTGACAATGATATCTTTAAAATAAAACCAAACCAGAATCTACTTTGCTACATATTAGTAGTGTTTCTCCATCGAGAGATATCACATGATCCATGAAGACAATTGTAACTGTTTCTAAGAACCAAGCCATACAATGAAGAAGATTGAAGACTAATCAAAAATAAAGACTACATCAACTCATACTAAGTTCCTATCAATAGCAAAACTAATTGCAAACATTTGATAAGAAAATCCTAAAGCAGTATAAAGTTTTGAAATATTACCTTAATATAAATTTTATTTTTCTCACGTTGATCAAGATTTTCAGCTGTCACATTCCCTTCACCCGAAGATTCAAGTTGTCCCAAACGTTCTTGTACATGCTTCTCATAAGTTTCTGCAACCACTCTAGCTCGTTGATCAACATTTACTCCATCAGGCTTCTGGTTTCTCTTTTTCTTTTGTTGTAGCGATGGTTTCTTTCCATTGTAAACTTGACGAACCTTGTAGATTCTTGATCATGTGGTTATGGATTGTTATTTACCTATGTGGATGTATAAAAATCATACAAAAAATTTTAAAAATTTGACCCGCCTTAAAATTACATCGTCTAATTTCTAACAAACCCTAACAACAACAAAAACCGGTTAATATTATGCAAGCTTTGTAATATTCATTTTTAAAATAAAATGTTCTGACATTATTAGTAATTATTACTGAGAAGAGAGATATTCGCCTTAAGGTCTGGGAGACAAAAAAGGCGACGCCGATCCCCATAACCTTGCATCAGAGTCAACGAAAGATCCAAACTCCCTCATCAAGTCATCTGCATTATAGGGTTTCACAAAGGCCCTTGGTGCAGGTTTACGTGAGTACTAGTTTCCGATCTCTGTTTTGTTTGCTTTGTGGTTGTTTTGGTCTAGGAGTTTTGGCTGAATTTTGAGTACGATCCGACCTTTTCTCGAGTTTGTCTAGCGAGTGCTACTTAAGATACGATAGTTCTTAATCTAAAGTCTGGTTTAACGATATCAATCTCTAGCTTTGTGCTACGATCCGAATGATATAGAACGGGAGAGGAAGGTATAAGGGAACCGTTCAAACTTATAAGCTTTCCGAAATCATAAGTCTGAATGAGCAATACGGCAAGGATGCTGAAGAAGGGAGGGACTACATGATACGATCCTCAAAGGTTGAGGCTCGTTTTGGTGGATGATGGAGGCTGAAAGCTGGACTAAAGTCACTCTCTTTCAACCGGTCGGATGGAGGATGATGGAAGTGGAAAGATGGCGCCTGTTCAAGGGACTAAAGTCACTCCTTTAGAAGGCTGGTCGGATGATGATGAGTAGAAGGTGGATCGATGGTCGCCACAAAGCCTGATGCAAGGAGGCAATAATGAGATAAAGTTAAACTGGGCAGAAATCACAAATGCCTAGAAAAACTGAAGAAGAGAGAACTCTTAAGAAAATGCTTGATCTTTATTGATAGTGTGTAAAATACAAGGCTGTGAGGGGACTTTATATAGAGTCCGAACAGTTATGCCCTTCTAGGGGTCTTTGAAGCAAATTACAATAAATGCAGCTAAATTAAAGGGATTGAAAATGGCTAACAATTGCCTTATCTAATGAAAATTGAAAATAAAGAATAAATGCAAAGGAAATCAAGACAAAACAAAGAAAGTTAGTTAAACAATATAATGGATTCAGTCTTACCTTTGAACTGATTTGTAGGGATTTGTTTGACTTGCTGGAGGGGATGAACCTGGACGCCTTTAGGTTGGGAGAATGGTGAATAAGGAGACTTCAGGTCCATACTTGATAAGTGGCCATTCTTCTATGTAGCTTCTTGGACCGTCCTTCATGAAATGACCCTCTTCTTGATATGGTTTGGCTTGCACTTCGGTTTGACCTTGATCTTGGGAAATGGTCAACTTCGTCAGCTGCTCGGTTATGTCTCGAACCTCCTGATCTGCAAGTAATATCTCTACAGCTTGGTTGAAGTTCTCCCTTAGCCTCTTAGCTCCTGCTCTAGTCAAGGGTGGGACGTTCATAGCTGGAACAAGGGTGGTTGGTGGAATGTTGGTACTTGGGATCACATCATCCTCTCCCTCTTGTAAAGGTTCTGTCCTCAGAACTGTTTCATCTGCATCATAAGGAGATAAGTCAGATACATTAAAGGTTGTGGAAATGTTAAACTCACCTGGAAGATCAATCTGGTAGGCGTTGTCATTGATCTTTTTAACCACTTTGAATGGTCTGTCTCCTCTGGGTGCTAGCTTGGACTTCCTTTGTTGTGGAAACCTTTCGGTTCTCATGTGTAGCCAGAACCAATCTCCTGGTGCAAAGCTGACTTTCCTACGACCTTTGTTCACACATTTTGTGGTCTGCTCGTTTCTCCTCTCCATGTGCTCCTTGGCCTTTTGGTGTAGCTTCTTAACAAACTCGGCATTGGCTTCACAGTCTTGGCTGATTTGTTCCTTATGTGTTAGTAGCACGAAATCCAAAGGAGTGCTAGGCTTAAAACCGTACACAAGCTCAAAAGGGGAGAATTTAGTAATAGAGTGTGGTGTGCGGTTATAAGCAAATTCAATGAAAGGAAGACACTCAAGCCAATTTCATAAGTTGTTATCGACTATGGCCCTTAAGAGGGTGGATAGTGTGCGGTTCACGAAGTCTGTCCATCCGTTTGGGGGTGACAAGTGGTAGAAAATAGAAGCTTAGTCCCAAGCTTTCTCCACAAAGTCTTCCAGAAGTGGCTTAGGAACTTGGTGTCCCGGTCTGAGACGATAGTCCTTGGCAATCCGTGAATTCTGACAATCTCCTTGAAAAACAGATCAGCAATCTGGGTTGCATCGTTGGTCTTGTTGCAAGGAATGAAGTGTGCCATCTTGGAGAACCGGTCTACTACCACAAATATGGAGTCCTTGTCTCTTATCTTAGGCAGTCCTAAAACAAAATCCATAGACACATCTACCCAAGGTAGGTTAGGAATTGGTAAGGGAATATAAAGTCCATGAGGGTGCAACCTGGATTTTGCCTTTAGGCAAATGATGCATTTAGAGCAGAATCGTTCCACATCTCTTTTCAGATGCGGCCAGTAGAAGTGCTTATCGACAATGCATTTGGTCTTTTGCACTCCAAAGTGTCCCATAAGTCTGCCTCCGTGGGCCTCCCTAAGAATCAACTCTCGCATTAAACTATGCGGAATGCGTAATCTTTTGTCCCTGAAAAGAAAACCATCATGTTTATAGTGAGGACCAATAACACCTTTTGTACACTGCTGGTAGAGCTCTCCAAAGTCTGGATCGTTGTCATATAACTCCTTGAGATGCTCAAAACCCATGATCTTGGCCTCCATGGTGGAAATCAGGGCATGCCTCCAGGATAAGGCATCAGCTACAATATTCTCCTTGCCCTTCTTGTACTTGATCACATAGAGGAAGATCTCCACAACCTCGAGCCATTTTGCATGTCGTTTCTTCAGTGTGGTCTGGCCCCTTAGGTATTTGAGCGTTTCATGGTCAGTATAGATGACAAACTCCTTGGAAAGAAGGTAGTGTTGCCATGTCTCCAGAGACCTTACTAGGGCATAGAGCTCCTTGTCATAGGTGGGGTAGTTGAGTGCAGCTCCATTCAGTTTCTCGCTGAAGAAGGCAACCGGTTTCCCTCTTTGAGTTAGGACAGCTCCAATACATGTACCTGAAGCATTACATTCAACTTCAAATGTTTTGTCAAAGTTAGGTAAAACTAAGACAGGTGCATGGGTAAGGCTATCTTTGAGCTTCTGAAAAGCTTCTTCCTGTTTTGGCCCCCAAGTGAAAGCAACATTCTTCTTGATTACTGCAGTTAAAGGGGTAGCAATGGTACTGAAGTCTTTGACAAAATGCCGGTAAAAGCTTGCTAGGCCGTGAAAACTCTGAACATGACCAATGGTGGTTGGCGTGTGCCACTCTTGTATGGCTTTGATTTTCTCTTCATCCATCTTTAGACCCTGTGAACTAACAACAAAGCCTAAAAATACCAATTGATCAGTGCAGAAAACACATTTCTTGAGATTAGCATATAAATGTTCTAGCCTTAAAGTTTCTAAGACTTTTTCAAGATGATTAAGGTGTTCATCCAAGCTAGTGCTGTATACTAGAATATCATCAAAATACACAACAATAAACTTACAGATGTAGGCTCTTAGAACGTGGTTCATGAGCCTCATGAAGGTGCTTGGTGCATTGGTGAGGCCAAACGGCATGACCAGCCACTCATATAGACCTCTCTTGGTCTTGAATGCTGTCTTCCACTCATCACCTTCCTTCATTCTGACTTGGTGGTAGCCACTCTGAAGGTCTATCTTTGAAAAGATGGTGGTGCCACTGAGCTCATCCAACATGTCATCCAATCTTGGAATGGGATGCCGGTATTTGACGGTAATGTTGTTGATGGCCCTGTAATCTACGCACATTCTCCATGTGCCATCTTTCTTGGGTACCAATAGGACTGGTACTGCCCAAGGACTAAGGTTCTCACAGATATAGCCTTTGCTCATCAGGTCTTGAACTTGCTTCTCTAGTTCCTTAGACTCCTCGGGATTGACTCAATAGGCTGGTCGGTTGGGTAGTGGGGCTCCGGGTACAAGGTCAATTTGATGCTCAATTCCTCGGATAGGTGGTAATCCGGTGGGAATGTTTTCAGGAAAACGTCCTTGCAAGTCCTCTAACAGCTTAAGTAATTCTTCTGGTTGCTTGTCCTCTTCGGGTCCTGAAAAATACCCTTCTCCAAAGACCATCAGTAGCACCTGCTCTTTCATTTCTAATGATTTAATAACTTTTCCAGGTGAAATATAAAGATTGGTCTTACTTACCTCAGCTCCTCTTGACATTGCCTTTTGCAGTTCATGTACTTCTTGAGGGGTGAGGGGTGCTAGGTTATGCTTACGTTTGTTATGGATGAAGCTGTAGTAGTTAGACCGCCCATTATGCATGGTCTCTTTGTCAAATTGCCACGGCCTCCCTAGTAAGAGATGTCCGGCTTGCATGGGAACAACGTCACACACTACAGTGTCTGTGTACTTGCCTATTTGGAATGGCACCGTGACTTGTTCAGCTATCTTAAGCTCGGTTTCATCGTTGAGCCATCTCAGCTTGTAAGGATGAGGATGTTTGGTCTTTTCTAGCCCTAGCTTATCAACCAAATACTTGCTAGCCACATTAGTGCAAGAACCACCATCAATAATTAAACTACATACCTTGGAGTTTATGGTGCATCTAGAGTGAAAGATGTTTTCCCTTTGGATGGTCTCAGCATCAAAGAGTGCACTAAGAGCTCTCCTAACAACAAGTATTTCTCCTACTTCAGGATAGTTGATGATATCATCATCGGAGTGTTCTAACTCTTCTGTTTCTCCTTCATCTTGGGACTCATACTCTCCATTTGCTTTGAGAAATATGACCCTTTGATTGGGAAAATCTCTTGCATAGTGTCCCTTTCCCTTACATTTAAAACAATATATGCCATGAGTTCTGGTAATTTGTTGAGTTTGGGACTTACCTTGCTCTGGCTTGAAGGCTGGCTTCTTGAACCAGGAATCTATCTCAATAGACTTCCCTTTGTCTAGGTAGCGTTGAAGAGTCCAAGTGGTCTTGGTCCGGTTTGTGGAGGCTGTCTTCCTCTTGATATGTTGCTCAGCTTGGATAGCTAAGTGCAGTAGCTCCTCCAGGTCATGGTAGCGTTGCCTTTCCACTTTTCTGGCAGTCCTATCTTGCAGCCCATCCATAAACTGTGACATTTGAGTCTCTGGCGTATCCTCAACTTCTAGTCTATTTTTAAAACTTTCGAACTCTTCAAAATACTCTTCCACCTATTTGCTCCCTTGAGACAGTTTGCGGAATCTCCTTTGTATATTCCGGTGGTAATGAGCTGGGACATATCTCTTCTTTAGGCTGAACCGCATATCCCTCCAGGTATTGATCTGGGGGTGTTGATGTCTTTGCCTATCTGAAACATCTCTGTCCCACCAAGCAAGAGCATTATCAGTAAGTTAGGCAGCAGCAAGTGATACTTTTCTTACCTCGGAATATTGGTAGTATTCGAAGATGTGTTCCATTCGCCTCTTCCAATCAAGGTAGGCATCTGGGTTGATCTTTCCAGCAAAATTTGGGGCAGACAACTTGATATCTCTGCTTCCTCCTCGATCATAGTCATCGCCTTGGTTTCTATCCCTTTGTGGTGGGTCTCGGCAGTTGTGAATCCCGTTAGGCTTGGGTGGTACTTAATGTTGTGGAGGGGGATCATCGTCTAGATCAGGCATGCTCTCTTCATCTTCTTCACGTTCCCTTTGATTCTGAGCACCTTGGGCACGATTCCTGCGTGGTCGCTGGTCATACCGATCCATGCGAGTGCCAAGGAGTTTGATAGAAGTTTGCAGATTAGCAAGAACTTGGGCAATGTCGGTTAAGGTTGGAGCATCTCCCATTGCTTGTTCCAGTTGGTACCTGAAATAAATAAACAAGTGTATGAATGTGTTCTAAAGAAATAAGAAAGAAATGTAATATGGTTGGACCAACAGTTTATATCTTTTTTTTTTAAAATAGAATAAGATTTTGAAAAGCTAATAAACAGAAATTTTTTGTGCTTTTAGTTTTTATGAATCAAACAGAAACAAAGCAAGAACAATAATAACAAATTTGAAAAAAAAAAATTTTCTTAATTAAGAACGAAGAACGATAAGAACAAGTTGAAAACTTTTTTTTTGAGTTTTTCTGGCAAAATGAAGAACACAAACGAAAATACAAAAATAAAGGATAGATAAAACCTGGGTTTATGAGCTTTTAAGCTCTGATACCAGATGATACGATCCTCAAAGGTTGAGGCTCGTTTTGGTGGATGATGGAGGCTGAAAGCTGGACTAAAGTCACTTTCTTTCAACCAGTCGGATGGAGGATGATCGAAGTGGAAAGATGGCGCCTGTTAAAGAGGGACTAAAGTCACTCCTTTAGAAGGCTGGTCGGATGATGATGAGTAGAAGGTGGATCGATGGTCGCCACAAAGCCTGATGGAAGGAGGCAATGATGAGACAAAGTTAAACTGTGCAGAAATCACAAATGCCTAGAAAAACTGAATAAGAGAGAACTCTTAGGAAAATGCTTGATCTTTATTGATTGTTGATATGCTCAAATTAACCCTTAGAGCTACTCTCTCAAATTAAGAAATCAATGTAGTACTTAGGGATCGAATCCACAAGGACTTAAGGCTACTTCTCAACAGATTTTAGATTCAAATAAAGCTAAGCAGTCAATAATAAATAAAACTAAAATAGCAATGAAAACAGTAAACTCAGAGGCGGATTGTAGGTTCTTAAAATCAATAGAGACAAGACGCTAGGCAATGAGAAATTCGCAGGTTGATATAAATCGCAGACTACGGACTGAAAGGAATATTTATTAAAATCGTTCTAGAATTCGAAAACACAAATGTAAAACCAATCGACTTCCGTCGCAAAGATGAACTATGATCATATCCTAGAATTTCAAATTCCTTTGCAAATTCTAACAACCTAAACATGCATTATAGATCAGATTTGATATGTTCACAAAATCACTAATCCAAATTTCTTTGCAATTAGTTATTTTGCTCATCTAAGATAGTTCTGGTGATTAATAATGTTTCCACATCTATTAAACAACCTAAGATCTGATTTCTAGGTGATCAATCTTAAAACCAGTGTTAAAGCAAACTAGATGAAGAACCAAATGATTTATCCTTCCAGTTTTGTAGTTCTAACAATTCATTATCAATATTTGAATAACCCAAAACCTAACTAGCAGATTACTCAGACATAGCAAGTGAAACACAAATCATGGCTGGATAAAATTGAATTAAGAAATAGAGTAAAAGATGAAGAGGTTCGAAATTCTTCTCTACAGAGTATGGATTTGTCTCCCCAAAAGCTCTCAATCTAGTCTCTCTCTTAGTTTCAATGAATACAAGATAATTAGCCTAACAATGGCTTAGAAAACATAAATACAAGTCTAAACACGAACTGGGGCAAAAGTGCAAATAGTGGAAAACTTCTGGACCAAGTTGCAATTCTTCATGAGAGTTTTTAGGACTCTTCTCGCGACCACGACCAGTGTCGATCAACACCAAGTAGTGGGTGTCGATCGACACCCTGCTCCATAATGCCTTCCCACTTGGTCCTTTCAGCATTAGCTTCAACATATCTCCAAAGGCTCCAAAATCCACAGTTGTGCTTCAAACATACCTAGACCTGCAAAGACTCTATAGGACTCGAAAAATACTAAAAAGACTCTATAAACAAGACTTAGATCATGGTTAAAAACCAGAAAAAACCATGATATATTAACTCCCTCAGACTTATCTTTTGCTTGCCCTCAAGCAAACATCAAACAGAGCCTAGAGTCGAGGTTTGAAAACACAGAAAAAGTCAGCCAGACATCAGGAACACCACATTGATTAACACTTTCGAACCCACATACCACAGAATCAACTCAAGATCAAATTTCAGTCTAATCATCACAGGCTTAGCAAATCTTTCAAATCCAGTCCAAGCTCCTTCAAGAAATCCGAAATCTCTACTGCTAAACTCCTTATTTCTATCTAAGTGATGTCTCATCAAGTTTTTATCATCTCGATCAATTATAGATTCTTTTCCCTTCCTAAACAACTGAACAAGGCAATCTCAACACAGCTCTCCTATTTTCTCTTCCTTTGATCTTTTCTTTCTGATATTTTTTATTTTAAACTCTTTCTTATTCTTTTACAGTCTAAGACATTGTGCTACTCAATACTTGTGTTCCTTGTGAGGAGACAGGTTCCTGAATGTGTTCATTACTGTTGTTCCTTGTGAGGAGACAGGGTCATATATGTACCATTCTTTTGACTCAAACTTTTAAAACTCAATCAGGGAAGATCAAAGAGAAACTGTTTCTTAACATACTTGTCAAAGTTAGAAGAGAGAATCAAGGTCAAAGAGAATCAAGCACCAAGACAAGAAGTTTTAAGTTTATTTAAGTGGAGCTAACAGAAAATTTTCCAGATTTTCTAAGAACCTAAACTTTCATTGTTAGACTGATCTACCTATGACTTTCAACTTAGTAAGACTTGTAATCAACAATTGTGGCAATGGTTCTTATAAGCATCAATATTTTGTGGTTGGTTCCAAGAAAAGCTGACAATTTCAAAAAATTTGACTCAGTAAAACAGGTTTTGACTCAACTTTGAGACTCTATAAATCAAAAACAATGTACACATTGTCAGCAACGACCTCCCCCAGACTTAAACAACACTGTCCTCAGTGTTATTAAGCATTGAGTTGGTAAAAAGAAGCAATGAAACGGTTTGTACAGAGATGAGAAAGTAGTACATGTGTCTGCGAGTGGTGTCGATCGACACCACACGGTTGGTGTCGATCGACACCCTGTCCGAAAACAGAATGGGATGACCCAAACATGTGTATTTGTTGCAAGTTAGATTATTAGCTCAAGTTCTCCTAAGTTAAAACTGTTAGGAACACTCAAACAAACAATTAAAAGCAACAATATAATCCATAATCTCATCAGTTCAAACAAGTTTCAAAACAAAATCAAAGCTGACAAACTGACTCAAAACAAAAACATAAAAATTGACTCAATAGAAAATGAAAAATAACAAAGGGAAAAGAAAAAGTAACCAGGATAGCTAGAGGAACTAATCCTCATCCTCAGTATCAGGTGAGTGTGGGCGAACACAACCGCAGTTGGACAGCACGGAGATGGCGTTCCACAGCGCCTGAACACTCTGCACCATGAAACGCTGAAAAGCGGCCTGCTCCATCGGAATGTCTGGAATCGGTGGAAGCTCATGTCGACCAATCGGCTCAGGCAGCGTGTAGGTGTGTGGTGCTCTCGCACGACGAGATGGACTTCCAGCAAGGCCCTCAACAGGTGCATCCTCAGTAGCAGAAGCAGCAGCTCAGAAAGATCCTCCTCTGCGCCTAGTCGCTGGTGCGGATCGTAGCAATGTAGCATCAGGCTGGAAGCTGAGGGAGTCTGTCTGCAGTGTAGTGAGAGCAGTCTGTGGTAGCGGAATAAGACATCGCTGACCAGTGTGACTGACGAAGCTCCATAGCGGCTCATCTCCCGCGATCCAGTGTATCCTCCTCAAGTAGTCCATGTCTATGAGGTGGCGCTCAGTCACAACTCTGCAAGTCGAAGTGTCGATGCGGCAGTAGCAGAAGATGAGAATGAGGAGACTGCCAATACTCTCGGGCTTGCCCCAAGCTCCGGTGAACGCCTTGGTCTTCAGCGAAGCCAAGTGATGGGCAAAGATGGCGCCCATGTTGACATCATTGTCAACCGGATACTCCTCTGTCAACACATCCTCAATGCCGTAATACAGGAGAGTCAGCTCAGAAACTCTCATCTTCCCGGCTCAGACTTGCATAGGAGAGTAGTGGAGAAAAGGCGGACAAGGTAGCGCAGCAACGGATGGCGCACATCTGTTTGAGTAGACCTCTTGGAGTCATACATCCCATTCCCAAAATGGGACCAGAAACTCTGCAGGTCAGGAAATGGCGTCGGGAGAGAGACGCCAGTGCGCGCTGAATCGAACCCGAAGATGTTACAGAGCGCAGTGAACTTGACCCTGTACCTGATGCCTCTGATGATGAATGTGAGAGTGCCATCATCTGCTCTCCTCACGATGTCATTGGTGTAATACACCCTCGCTGTGGTAATGAACTGGCGCACTAACTCTGGGTATAGATCGTACTGCCTGGTCGCGATGGTACCCAAGCCAATCTTCTGCAGCACTCGCAGAGCCTCCTCCTTGAGCCCGAGCCTGTGCAATGTATCCGGACAGGCGAGGCGTGTAGGCGCAAAGTCCATCTTGGTCCAGGCATTGTAGAACAATGTGTCATAATCGTCCCACTGCTCACTGATGTCCCAGAAAACGCAGGCGCGTTTCGCTACCTCTTTCGCCGGAGTATCCTCCCAAACCCTCTCCATTGGGATCCTCAACCCTTCTCTCTGAGGCTATGGTGGAAGAGAGGGTATAGCAGGTGCTGGTGCGGGGTTGGAGGATTCTCCAGTCTCAGTGCGTGATCTCTTGTTGGTTCGTGGAGCCATCTGCACTCAGAAAACCAAAAATACAAAAATTTCCAAAATCAGGCCAAAAATCGAAAATTCGAAAATTCAAAATCTGGCATATATCATCAATAGCAAACCTAACCAGCAACTTAGTGATCACTAATCACAAACAATTCCAGCCTAAAACCCTAAATTCGAACCTATTTTTACAAAATTAATCACCAATCCGAAAATTATCAAAACTTTGCAAAACAAGCTGTAATAACTAAGGGGCAAGGTCGAATTCCTCCTAAACAACCTAGAGAAGCATGATTCAAATCTTATATCAAGCGAAAACAGGTCAAATCGGAAGTTTCAAACCTTGGGGTCGAACTGAAAAAGTGTAATTTCGAGTGTTATACCTTGCA